AAAAAAAAAACAAAACACTTATGGTATTAACAAAGAACAGTACCAGAAAATGTATCTCTAGGTTTATGATTAGGATAAGATTGAAATGAGTTACAAAGGGCACCTATGAACAACTCCTCTGCTCAGCTTTGAAACCCTCTCAACCATGTTATGTCTTCCAGTAGAGTAAATTGGGGGTCTGACCTCTTTCTAGACTCCAGGACCATGATTAATTCATCTTGTGGTGTCACTTCAAGTGCCTGGCACAGTATCCTGCATTCTGTAAACACAAAAATGTTTGTTCATTAATTGGTATACATCATTCAGAGCAGAAACCAGACTTACATCTCAAAAAATTCCATTCTAATACTGCCAACTCACCACAAAAGACTATCGAATCCTTTTCATTCCTTTCTCTTCGACTAGAAAAACATTAATATTTTAATACTTTAAGACATTTCCTCCCCAGCAAACAAAAACAAAATAAGGCTTAAAATCTGTCATCTACTGTACTTCCCGCCCTGAGAAATTTTAATCGCTATCTTTTCTTGCAGTACAATTCCAGAGAAGGTGAAAAACAAGGGACAGAAGAATTCCATGTACCAAACCTGCAGTAAATAAAAGCTGCTCCAAAGAGGGTCAATTCTCAATAAAAATTTCTTACCAGTTCAAACAGCTGCTCAACGAGGAAAGCACTGGTTCATGTAATGCCTTCACTTACTCCCTAAATCCTCACACTGGAGCCATTTCAAGCATGTAGAATTATGAAATAAGAGCCCAAATCTAATAATTGCTTAAGTTAAGGTAAGAAATAACTAGCTAGAAAATGAGGTAGGAAAAGAAATAACACTCCTGGAACAGTATTTTCCACTCACCTCCTCTGCCTACTTTAGTTACTGTCCCACTGAAGACTTTGTTACTGTAGGGATTCCAGTCTCATGGGAAAAGGAAAATCCAGTCAATAACCTCATCTATCTTCTATCTAAACTTATCTCTCAGTCAACAGGTATCACTTAACATCATAATAAAGTCTAAGAGCCCTTCTGAACAAAAAATTACATAAGATTCTGCACTCTGGTGACCCTGAAGAGGTCACTTTTGAGACTACTCAGTGATTAACAAGCATCCACCACGTAGTAGTGACGGTTGCATTAACTTTGTGAATATACTAAAAACCACTGAACCATACACTTAATGGTGAATTCTGTGATATGCGAATTATATCTGTGTCACTAAAAAAAGAAGAAAATCCCTTCCTCATAAAAAGACACCCATCAAAAACCAAGTACTATGAAACACAACATTTCTCTTTAAAATTCAGGTTCCATAATACAATGTGCTACATTTTAGAGATAGCTCCTCCTCTGAGGACTGCTGGTTTTATTCTATACTCATTTTTTACTGGCAGAGTTCTGAGAGATGTTAAGGGAGGGATGGTGGAAAGGACACCACACCATTACTAGAGAAGCCTGGTTGTTCTACAAGTCCAAGTTCTATGCTCTAAAACTTTTGTGTCCCCCACCAAAATTCATATGTTGAAATTCTAATGCCCCATGTATTGGACTTAGGTGGGGTTTTTTGGGGGCCGTAAGTCATAACAGCAGAGCCCTCACATATGCATTTCACAAACAGCTCCTTTATAAAAGGCCCCCGGGAGCTCCCTTGCCCCATCTGCCATGTGAGAACAAGAAGCCAGCAATCTGACCTGAGAGAGGAAAGGAGGCCCTCATCTGACCAGGCTGGCACCCTGATCACGGTCTTCCAGCCTCCTGAGCTGTGACAGATAAATTTTGTTGTTTACAAGCTACCCAGTCTGTGGTACTGTACTACACAGCAGCCCAAATGGACTAAGACACCAAGTAATCCTAAATTATATCACTAAACTTACTTCTCCTTCAACAATAAAAAAGAATGAACTGTGTGCAAATTGAAACTCAAAATAAGTACATTCTAGCATAGAAAATGTTTGTTCTCTTACACAGAACCCTTGTCTTTCACATTTTCATTCATTTCAGGACCTCTACTTTAAAGAGCATCACATAGTCAATTTACTTGGATCTGCAGAGAATTGAACTTAAATGAATTACACTTGGTTACACTTAATTTGTATTCTACTTAATCATTCCATTGGAAACCTGTATTACTTTTTCAGAGAGCTAAGATCAACACTGAATCCCAAGTTTTTACTTGGGAGGCTGGAAACAGGCATAACCACCCAGCAGCCTTCTGACACTGTGCAAAAACATTTACGGCAACTGGCTGCTCAAGGAACCACCTGAAAAACCCAACTAGCCTGTTTTCAGGAGAAATGACAGATATTCACCCTGGACAGGAACACTTAAGAAGTCATTCAGTGTTCTATCTCTAGACTTCCTCCTTCAAGAGCTCTTCCTCCTATCCAGCTTAAAAACAGGGACCCAACCACAAATTTCAACAAGGGCTTAACAACCAAAGAAAACATGCTCTCCTTGTGTTCATTTCCTCACTATAAAAAAACTTGCAACTTTTATGGCTCCCCCTTTGTAAATTTCTAAGAGCTAGTTCCAATTTTTTTATCTGCTTCTTCCAAGCATAGTTCTCTGCTATGATAGTG